TGACAAAGACGGTGAATGTTTCGCCGTTTTATTTTATAACTTATGTATTTTGAGAATTTTTTTTAAGAACATGTGTACATTGGGATTTTTTCCAAAGTTTAGGCCACATGAAAATATTAACCCTAGTAAATAACATTATATGAATTGGTTAAAAATTATTAAATGAATTATATAACACCAACATAGTATAGAAATATGAGATCAATTAAGCGATGAAATTTGACTATTTATTTTCATTAACCGCGTGTATCATATATGACATAAAAACATTACTGTATTCAAGTTTAAGTTATTTAGAGTTTATTAAGGGTTCAACCATTTAGACTTATAAATAACCTGAGCTCCTGAGTTGATTAATGTGCCAACTTGAGCATAACTCATGAGCTCCTTAACGAGGCAAGCTTAAATTTTCGGAAAACTAGACCTATGTCGGCTTGTGAAGAAATAAATCCAGCTCAAGTTCAACAAAAATGAACTCGACTCGACTCATTTGCATTCCATTCAATTACATCCTCGTCAAATTAATAAAGAAAGGCGAAAATGCACATCATACAGAAAGAAAAAAAATTGTCATACCCCCTCGATCAAACATAAAAAAACCCACAATTTTAAAGTGAACGGCTATTTGCCGCCAACGAAATTGCTATTTGCCGCCAACAAAAAAAAAAAAGTTGAATTCAAATTTTGAATTCTCCCTTCCTTCCCTTCTATAAATTCGAATACCATAACATTTGACTCATTCCAACAAAAACACTTTTGTCGACGAGCCCAGTGCCTCCGTCGCCGGCCAACCTCCCGTCATCCTCAATCGTCGGAAAACAAGTAAGTTTACTTTTTCCGGCAAGTTTTTCAATTTTCCGGCAAGTTTTCTAGTTTTTCGGCGAAAAACACGGTGGGCCAAAAAATATTTGTGGCCGGAACGCCGCCGAGCCAAAAGAAATTTTCGGTCGGCGCGACGCCCAGCCGAAAAAAATTTGCGGCCGGGGCGCACCGGCCGCAAAAAAATTTCGACCCGGTGGCGCACCGGCCGCAAAATTTTTTCGGCCCGACCAGTTTTTGTATTTAATTTAATATGTTAATTAATTAGTCAATAAAAAATTACTTAATTAGTTATTAGAAATTAGTGTTAATTTTTTTTAAGTTGGTGTATAAATGTTTTTTTTTATAATAGGCGTATGAATGTTTAATTAATTAGTGATTAATTAACAATTAATGTTAATAGTGCATTACTTAATAGAAATTTAATTAATTAGTGCGCATCTAAGTATGATATTAATTAATTTGTGATTAATTAACAATTAATGTTAATAGTACATTAGTTAATAGAAATTTAATTAATTAGTGCGCATCTAAGTATGATATTGTGTAAATTTGTAGATAATTAGATACGGATGATGCGGGTGGGAGTGAGTTGCATAGATACGATGGTAGGGTTGTTGATGCATCAACACGAAGGAAGGTGCCTAAGAAGAATAAGGAGAAGAAGCGCTCTCGAGATATTGGACATCAGTCAGAGGCAAATTTAGGGGAGGATGGGTTAGAGGCTCCTACTGTAGTTGCTCGTTCGTCATCACGGGCGTCTGGTTCCCATGGTGGGAACCAGGGTGCTGCATCAACAGTGGTCTCGGCTGAGTTTGATGAGGACGATAATGATGAGGATATCGAGGTCCCTCCACCTACGCGTGGACATGGACGAGTGCCGTCTCGTACGGCAACATCACGTCCTGCTATGTATAGGGACCGAGCTGGGCGATTCGTACCACCTGCTCGTGAGGAGACAGAGAGCTCGGGGACTGGACGGAGTAGGGAAGAACGTTCGAGTGGTCCTCCACCGTGGGAGCTTGTTGGTGAGTGTCCTGGTGGACCTACTTATGTTTGGATCGGATGTTTGCACACTCATGATTAAAACATCGAGGGTAGATAATGAAATCCATAAGTTCATGATGATAATGAAATCCATAATGAAATCCATAAGTTCATGATGATAATGAAATCCATAATGAAATCCATAAGTTCATAATGACACTAGGGCCATTTAAAATACAACTAGAAAAACAACAACATATAAATAGAGCATCGCAACACTATGCATTGCTCCTACCCCCTACCCCTTCCCCTAGCTCTTCGGGCGTCTCTCTGCCTGGCTCGCTGCCGACCACCAAGACTCGCAAACAAATTTTGTCCAACCTCGAGAATAGCTCCCATCCCGCCACATTAGGATTTGCTAGCCCATGCCAAAGTGGATGCAGAGGGGGTATGGGAAACTGATCCTGGTGGTTGTTCACATAGTGCAGTGAGTGATAAGAACATGGTTGGTGGCAAAGTACCTGGGTCCGCATCAATAGGCAATACAGTATAGGCATCATCGTAGCGGTTGGGTAGTGGACGGTTTGCATTATTGACATCAAACACCTGGTATGTGAAGACCATGACTGCGATGTTGTAGATGGTTGCAAACACGAACAAGTCCTCAGAACCATCCATCGCCCCATTAGTGCTACACCCGCCTAGAGCCAATTGATGCGGTCAATGTGAGCTAGTGGACCACCATTATACAAGTTCTCGTACTTCCAGAAATGTTGTTGGATTTCTTGGACAATCGTCGATCTCATGAGCAGATAGTGACTATCATCCCCATAAATACAATGAGAAAGTGCCCTAAAACCACAATGGCCGTCTGGACTAGGGTTGAAATCGCCTACCAGCAAAGGTCGAACAAACTCTGGAAAAAGCTCATCGATGTAAGGGTAAGAATATTGCCCTGGGGGGCTCTGGGATGAGTAATCTACAAAAATATACCAAACAGTCAAAATTACTTGGACAAAATTTACAAACATAAACCAATTACTACCCGATGGACTATAATATTTAACCAATTACTCACATGTATCATGCTCGTCGGATTCACCTCCACTCGATCGGGATCTGCCTCCACTCGATCGGGATCTTCCTCCACTCGATCGCCCCCTGCCTCCACTCGAACCAGGCCCAGTACTCCTCGAACGAGACCGCTCATAATATGAACGAATGCGACTGGTGCTTGTTCGAGGCCGTCCTCTCGGATTCTCATTCACTTCCGGTTCCCTCACATTGTCCTCTACTGGGTGAAGCCCATAGAATAGGGCATCTCTTGCTTGTCTCACTGCTTCAGGACCTCGTTCTTCCACCTCAACAGTAAGACGCCTAAAGTGTTCTCGTTGAAGCTCAATTTCATCATTGACTTGTTGTTGACGTGGGGGGTTTTTATAATCCAAAAGGCCGGAACCTGGCCGGGCCGAAGGAAATCGGTGGCCGGAGCCTGGCCGGGCCGAAAATATTTTTCGGCTCAGCCTGGCTCCGGCCACCGATTTCCGTCGGCCCGGCCAGGTTCCGGCCACCGGAAATTTTCGGCCCACCCTCTGTTGCAAATCGTCTGAAAATTGTTCGAAACTACAAAAAAATTGACGCACCTGCTTAGTGATGATTCATGGATGCGTGTCCGCAGTTTATGTCGAGGATGGGCTTTCCCGATGGTTTTCCGGCGACTTTTCCGGCGAGCGTCGATTTTTTCTGATTCAATACGTTTTCTGAAAGTTGAATATGTTGTAGATTGTGAAACTTCTTAACCAAAGATGTATATATATATATATATATATTAGTTGGCGGCAAATAGCAATTTTTTTGGCGGCAAATAGCAAGCCCCATTTTAAAAGGCTTTAATAGAGATGAAAAGAGCGTCAATGTACAACAAAGATATTCATAGGTTGCTCAATTACTTGGTGGAAGCCAACAATCTAAACTTCCGTTGTAGGCACTTCGTAACCGCCCGTAGTCTGGAATTGTGCTAGGCCAGAAAATGACTTTAGGTTGTTGCAGCAGTTCCTCGTCTTGATGATAAGCAGCACGCTCCGACTTTTTATCCTGATAACCGAGGAACTCCAACTCCCATCTTCTCAAAATCACAGGTCAAATTAGCAATCGATTAGCTACGAGAATGACAGCACCGCATAAACACAATTTCGGATCTCTCCGGATGCAAACCGATTACTCCATCAAGCCGCCACCCCAAGGCCTCCGTCTCGCAACTCGCTCCGATGCACCTTAAATTCTCCACACATACGACTTCATGTAGTCTCTTCCAATTCGTTCTTCCTTTATGTTGTTCCACCCTCCAAACACTCAAACGGTGCCCGTCACTCCATCTCCATTGGCGGTGAATTACGTGCACACAGCCGTTTGAGGCCCAAGGGCCGTAGTAGTTATCCCAATGATAGTCGGACTGGTAAGAATCAGGGCAATGTATTAATGTTGGAAGAGTGGTATGGTCTAGGCAGAAAGGATCCAACTTGGCAACTCTCCCCCGGCGATTCAACCAGTACAATTTGTCATTGAGCGAGAGCACCCGTTCACGGCCGTGATTTATACATCACCTTAAATCCTCGTGAACAGGGAGAACCAATTTCGTCCATCTGCCAGATCTGGAACAGAACACCTCTACTGGCATTGTATCAGCTGATTTCCACAATTTGTACATTCGTACCACCCGGAATCGACGGTACCCAAAATGACAGGGGAACAGAGCTTCACCATCGGGGACAAAATCTGGAGCAGGGGGATTACTGCAGGGCTGACACACTAATTTCACAATCGAGCTACTGTTAGAATGTGGTATAAGATCCAGCAGAACCTTCTCCCAACAACTCGAGTTATTGGGATCAACTGGTTCTTGACATGGTATCAGAGCCTCGAACCAAAAGGTCATGTGTTCGAATCTCCACGACCCCCAATATCAATATTGACCGTTGTCTTTCAAGCACATGGTATGGTAGGCCTGTGCAAACTTCAAGCCCATGGGTTGACTTTCGTTTGAGGGGGCGTGTTAGAATGTGGTATAAGATCCAGCAGAACCTTCTCCCAAAAACTCGAGTTATTGGGATCAACTGGTTCTTGACAGCTACAGCGGGCCGACTCTTTAGGCGCTAAAGGCAAGGCGACCCATTGCTTGGTGAACGGATTGCAGATCAGGTACGTTGTGTGCAATTGGTCGCCGATTTTCCCCTGAGGGAAACCGAGTAAGAGCAAGTCCTTGGCCGAATCGAGGACGGCGAACTTGGATCGATGTGGCTAGGCAAGGGGAGGAAGCTCAGGATCAATTCACGGAGCTCGGAGGGAGTCAGAGGAGGGGGTTTGGGTTCGCCGGCGAAGGATATCGGGTGGTGGGAAAGGAATCGGGGGGAGAAGTAGGGAGCGGGGAGTAGGGAGTTCCACAGCTTGCAGACGGGTTTGCACCGGACGGCGGATCTAGGGTCCGGGAGCCGAATAAGCACTTCCAAGAGGAGATCGACATCAAGTTTGCTGAACAGAGAGGAGGTGGAGGTAATTGGTTTCCTTTTGCGGTAGTAAACCTGGGTCGCCATTGCTAGCTGCGAGTAGACGAGGAGGAGGTGGAGTTTTGGGAACAAAAAGCAGAGCCTGTCGCCGGAGTAAGACAGCAGTCCTCTGTAATTAAAGGGCGATTGGCGGCTGCCTCTTTACCTTTTCCGAGGCGGAAAATCGTTTGGGACTTTGGGCCCAGACGTTGGGGTAATTAGGGCTCAAGTTAGGGTGCATAGCCATGAGTTATGCACCCATCAATAACCAAATATGGACCCTTCATTTAGAAAATCCAGATTTAAAGATGGAGAATTAAAGATTATTTTTATTTTCACTAGTTTTCTTAATTGACTCATGTTTTTTTCGTTTTAACTCGGATTTTAATTTTTTTTGCACAGATGGAACGAGTTCATCGTGCTCTACAAAATGAGATCAATTTTCGATATTTTTTGAGGAAAAAAATTCTGGCCTCTCGGTACCAACTGCATACCATATGGTATCTTCTTCATTTTTAATTCGTTTTTGAAAACGTTTGCACAGCAGGGACTAATTCATCATGATCTAGTGGATCTACAAATTTCTGGGTGAACAAATTACAAGACCAAAACATACCACACAATACCATACAATATCACCATGATACGGGGTGGTATCTTATGGTATACAATGTTAAAAGTCGTAAATGACAATTAATATACTTCTACTATCATGTATTCAACCATCCTACAGTTTTGGTTTGTGTCATACCACCATGGTACGCTTTTCAAACCATAGGTATGCTCTTATTTCAATACCAGTCAATACCATATGGTATAGCCTGGTAAAAAATGGCTCAATTTTTTTTGTTCAAAAAATATAACAAAGTGGATATCATTTTGAAGAGCACAATTAATCTGATCTAACTGTGCAAAAAAATTAAATTTCGACTTAAAACGAGTGAGAAATCTTCCGTCAAAGATTAAGGAGGGGAAAATTAAAGGCTTTCCAGGAGAGAGAGGATGCTGATGTCATGCTGATGTGGGCGGGTTACTCATAGTTACTCACCATAAGGTTACTGACCTGATTCCGGTAATTAGTTAGTGGTTCATATCTTTATGACTTCGGTTTTTTTGCTTTTTAGACTTTCGGGCCTAGCCCAACTCTATTGTCATCAAGGTTGTCAAACCGGGTTAAGTCGTCTAGCCGGTTCGACAAGGGGTTTGAGGTTTAATGGTCTGATCGGGGTTCAATCGGATTAAGCCGGTTTTAATAGAATAGGTGAATAATGGATATAGGAATCCATTTTTGTCACAAATTTTGGACTTTTTGGCCCAAACAAACCCATTACATTAGCCCAACAAAACCCCTAATTATTTTTTGGCCCAATCAAACCCTAAGCCCAACTACCCAACAAACATCCATCTCCCTAAATATCATAAGCAGCAGCCGCCTATACACACCCACAAAATAAGAATCTGATTCTCCTTCCCTATTCTTCCCTTTTCCTACTGCTCTGTACTTCTTCCTCAATCCTCTGTGTTCTCTTCCTTCTTCCTCTAATTCAATCTCAAATCGCCGAGAAGGATCTAGTGTGTTACAGAGGGAGGGAGGGAGGGAGGGAGGGAGAGAGAGAGCGACTCAACACCTGCAAAATAGAAGGAGCCGTTGTTGGAGCTGGGAGCGAACGGCGAGGTAGGTTCTCGGTGGTCGGCAGAGGTGTGGATCGAGCTGGCGGATGGAGGAGCCGATTTGGGAGGCTGTTCCAAAACCCTCCAAAATGTCGTCGTTTCATCACTAGCCGGTAGCCGGATAAGCCGGTCAGACCCAAGGGTTTGACCGATTTTGACCGACTTTGACCGGTTGCCGGCTAGCTCAAAATATGGCTGGTGCTGGCCCTTTTTGTGTCCGGTTCCGACCCAACCCGGTCGAACCGGCCGGTTAGAGCCGGGTTTGACAACCATGATTGTCATTTGAATTTCCCCACCCTTACGTATACCGATTATTTATCCGTCGTGGAGTAACCTTGGCCCAATTGGACGGTTTAAACGCTTTATTTATTTACTAGCATTATACCCGGCCCGACCGCCGGGTGATTTTAATATAATTAAATATATTAAGAGAGATAATAGGAATGTACCTGGTTTACAAATCCGATCAAATCATCGTATTGTATATGATTGGGGTTTTGGTATGTTTTTGGGGCTTAGGATAGGGTTTGTAACCATTGGTTACTGACCTATGAGTAACTAAATCTGGACCTTTAGATTTAAGTGGGTCCAGAAAATTCAGATATAAGGATTGTCAATTAAAGACATTTTATTTTCCCTAGTTTTCTTAATTGGCTTTTATCTTCTTCGTTCTAACTCGGATTTAATTTTTTTTTTTTTTTTGCATAGATGAAACGAGTTCGTTGTGCTCTACAAAATGAGATCAATATTCAATATATTTCGAGAAATATTTTTTACCAACTACATACCATATGGTAACTTCTTCGTTTTTAAGACATTTTTTAAAACGTTTGCTCAGAGTTCATCATGATCTATTGGATCTATGAATTTCTGGGTGAAAAAAATATTGGATAAAAATTACCATACTTTACCATTATGGTATGTGGATGGTAACTTGTGGTAACTTGTAGTAAACAATTATGAAAGTCGTAAATGACAGTTGTATACTCTATTATTATTATTATTATGTATTCAACCTTCTTACCATATTGGTATGTTCATACCATCATTGTACGCTTTCTTACCATATGATATTAAATAGGAGCATACCATATGGTAATGACTAGTAAAAAATTATTCAAATTTTTTTTGTACTAAAAATATATCAAAGTGGAAATCATTTTAAAGAAAACATTTAATCTGATTTATCTGTGCAAAAAAAATTAAATTAAATTTCGACTTAAAACGAGAGAGAAATCGTCTGTTAAAGATTAAAAAGGAATAGATAAAAGACTTTCTAGAAGAGAGAGGATACTGATGTCATGCTGATGTGGACATGTTACTCATGGTTAATGACTATAGAGTTACTGACCTGATCCGTTCCCGCAAGTGGAGGTTTTAAATTGGAATCCAAGAAAATTATTAATCAAGTTGGTTTGTACGTTCAAATTATTTTGGATATTTAAATTTAAGTAATTTCCTTGCATCTTCTCCAAAAATAAAATTTTGTATGTTCATATTAGTTTGTGTATCTATTGACATTAACCAATATACTCAAATCAATTATCTTATACAACGTACACTATAAAATTCAAGAGTATACAAACGTACAAATCAAATATTTCTTATTATAAAAAGCCATTACTTATGAGAAAGTGTCGGCTTTAACAAACAGCAAAAAATTATAAACTCCCATTTAAAGAAAAAAACTTAAGGGAAAATTTTAATACAATAAATATTTAACATAAAATAAATAATATTTCAAAAAAGATGAAATGTCGTGAAAAGTGAAAAGTGAAAACGGAAAATAAAAATAAAAAATAAATATAATTACCGTGGATCAAGGTTGTCAAACCGGTTTATGTCAGTGTGCCGGTTTAACAAGTGGAATGGTTTAACCGGTGGCACATACCGGTTTGTGTCGGTTCATGCCGGTCAATATTACAAATAAAATTATAAATACTCATATTTAAACATGACATTTAACGTCAATACCTAAACATTTATACTTGAATCAAACAAATAACATCAATATTTAACCTTTATACTCATAAAATAAATAATAAAATAATTTTTATCAATTAAATTCTCTAAAATAAAGTCATTTTACTTAGAGATTCGTATATCGATCATGCCAGTCATACCGATGGTGTCACGCCGGTTTTATGACCGGTATCGGTTGAACCCGGTACAACCGATGGCACGCCGGCCGGCGTGACAACCATGCCGTGGATTAAGGAGAAGCCTTTTAAGGTTGGCGTGGATAGGATTTATCAGTTCTCGATGGTATGAACATACCATAGGAAATTTGCTCTCAAAGCCTTTTAATATATTCTAAGATTTATTTATTATTATCAGTTCTCGATGATTGTCGGCTATGCCAGTCCATAAATCTACAAGTATATAGATAGCGAAATATTTTTTCTGCACCCCGTTCAAATTTTCCTGCAACGAGAGTGAAAGTAAGAAGTGTACTTTTGTCTTCGCAATGATCTATTTGTTTCTCATTTATTCTTAAAAAAATACACATACTAGGATTTGAACAGTGGTCATTTTCAACTATGATAAGAATCTTAACCAATCATACTACATAGACTAGTTGTATTATCTTAAATTAAAAAATATATCTAAAGCTAAAATTAAAAAATCACAGAACTTTTCAACGGTTAGCTAAGATCGCTAAATCTTCGCTTAGTACTTATTGGTGTTTTGATACTTGGATTTTCATATTTAATTATTTTAATTATACTTTAATACTTAATTCAAAATTTTATTTATCTCATAAATAGACGATAACTTTAAAATCATAGACCAAATATCATTGGTTCAATATTACATATCGAATTGCAATATCGAATGTGTCGAAGCGATGTTGAACTCCTAAATTAGTATTAGTTTATAGAACTACTATCTAATTCATATCTTTCTGCAAACTATATGGGGACGGGTTCTTTGAATGTTTTTAGCTCGGTTAACTGTTAAGTTTTCAACATCTTCCTAATCCGACAACATGATGGATCCAACAATCATTAGAAGAGGTTGAGTTTAATAGATTGCTTTATTTCATCTTTTTATGTATTAAAATGAATTTGTAGAGCAAGGACATGTCTACATATACACTCTACACAATATATACTATTGGCACGATAAAATTGTCGTCTCATTTCAAATTTCCTACAACGAGAGCAAAAGTATGAATACCATTTTTGTCTTCGCCATTATTTATCTTTATTTTGTATAGAAATAGACAAGTATTGGGATTTGAACTAATGTATCTTCAAACACAGAGAAAAAAGTCATAACCATGATTTCAATTCGAGTATGACTCTGTTGGTCAAACCAATTCTATCTAAACCTGAGTATCTCAGCGGGTGCCGAAGGCCCAGTTGGTTGTCTACTTAGGTTGGGTCAAAGTCGAGTTTGTCTATCTTAATGGGAAATCCAACCAATTTAACCAACTGATTCGAGCGCCAACC